ATGATCCGGTCTGTTGAGGTGTTATGTGCTCTTCCTCCTTCTTGTGAAGTTCAGGTGTGTTGCAGTGGGTTGCGGCCCATTTGAATAGTGTCCTTACACAGCTTTGTTTGTGGACGTTGGAATGATTGCTTTCGACATTGAGGATTTGTTCAGTATGGATTGCCTTCGTATATACTGTGGTTTGGAATTCCTCATTCATTATTCGTTCTACCCTGACGTCTAGGAACAGAAGTTGATTGTTGTTTTCCTCTTCTCTTGTGAATTTGATCCTGGTGAATACATTGTTGATGAGTTAGTGTGTCTCTTCTAACTTATTGTGTTTAATGATGACAGATGTGTCGCCCACGTATCGTATCCATAATTTTGGCTATATGCGGGGGAGGGTCATGCGTTCCAATCTTTGCATGACTGCCTCTGCAATAAGTCCTGAGATGGGTGACCCCATAGTTGTGCCATTAATCTTTGTATACTTGACCGTTGCAGGTGAAGTGTGCGGTGGGGCATAGGTCCAATAGTCTGAGTATGTTGTCCTTGCTGTCCGTCGGTGTTCCTGTTTCCTCTCGTAATGTGGCCAGAGTTTCTTTGGCCAGCGGGATGTCAAAGGACTGAATAGTGCTATAACCTGAAGGGATACCATAATCTCATCATCGCTGATTTTGATGTTAGGGCCGCACGGTGGTTCAGTGGTTAGCACTGCTGCCTCAGTGCCAGGGTCCCAGGTTCAATTCCACCCTTGGACGACTGTCTGTGTGGAGTTTGCACATTCTCCCCATGTCTGCGTGGGTTTCCTCCAGGTGCTCCGGTTTCCTCCCACAGACCAAAAAATTGGCCATGCTAAATTGCCCATAGTTTTCAGGGATGTGTGGATTATAGGGGGATAGGTCTGGGTGGGATGTTCTGAGGGTCAGTGTGGACTTGTTGGGCCAAAAGGCCTGTTTTCATACTGTAAGGCTTCTAAAAAAAATGTTCTTGAGATTATTGAGGAATTCCTGGGTTGAGTGGATGGAGTGGGGCCATCTATCAACCAGGTGTTTTAGTCTTTGTTGTAGGTCCTTGTTGTGGATGTGCTCGGTAGGCAGACAATGGATCTGAGGGGGATGTCTGGTTTGTGTACTTTGGGGAGTTCAAAGAAGCAGGGGGTGTTTGAGCCTTCTGGTTTCATTTTTATGTAATCTGTCTTGGTTATTTGTCCTGCATTCTTTAGTCTCCTCAGTGTTTGGGTGATCCTTTTTACTAGCTGCAGTATTGGGTCGATCTCCAACTGTTGATAAGTGTCTGTATCTGCAAGCAGTGCCTGTGCTTTTTCAGTGCAGTCTGGTTTGTTCATCATGACAGTCATGTGCCCTATGTCTGCTGGTTGGATTATGATGTTCCTGTCTCTCTTGACTCCTTCAAGTGCTTTTCTCTCTTATATTTGTTTAGGGTGTCCCAATCATTCCTCCGCTTCAGTGCAGGGATTATAGTCTGTCGGATGGCCTGTGGAGTTTCGTTCGTGAGTTCATTGTTTTTTAGTGTAGCTTCCTGAGCAGCCACGAATTCTGTTCTGTTTGCATCTCTGTGGTTATAGTTTAGTCTATGTATTAGGACAGCTTTGTCAGTTTTTGTAAGTGGTCTGTTGGATAGATTTCTTACCCATGAGTCTGGTTTGTTATTGTCCTTGTCTTTATGGCAGATTAGTTTGGTCAGCTTCTCCTGTAATTTGTGTCTCTTCTTAGTTCTGGTCCTGTGTTGTTTGGTGGTGATGGCCTGTTCTAGGGTTGTAGTCCATTGCTGGTCGGTAGCATTGTGGTACAATGATTTTTGGCGTGAAATTTCTCATTCGCACTTGTGGAGCCGGTTATGGGCATTGTTAATCATTACCCGAAGCATTTTGCATCTATTTTGTTTGGCTGTTTTATACACCTGTGGGTTGTTGAGTGGAGGTTTATATTTCATGCTGCGGGGCAGTACCTGGTTCCTGAGGCATTCGTGGAGAAAATGCAGTTGTTCGCGGTTAGCACTCAGTCGGTTGGCAAAGGTTTCCCATTGTCGGGCTATTTTGAGTGTGACAAACATTCACAAAGATCAAAGATCCCATACCTATGAAATGCAGGACCAATATAGTGTACAAAATACCGTGCAAAGACTGCCAAAAACATTATATCGGCCAGACAGGAAGGAAACTAGCCATCAGGATACACGAACACCAGCTAGCAGCAAAACAGTACAACGAACTTTCCCTCATTTCAGTGCACTCAGACAATGAAGGCCATCAATTTAACTGGGACGATGTGACTACCCTAGCTCAAGCCAACCATAGACATGCATGGGAATTCCTAGAGGCCTGGTTCTCCACCCGTAATGCAATCAATTAATATGTGGAATTAGATCCCATATACAAACCCTTGCAAAAAAGAACCAGAAATGACACAAAACACCTCAACAGACCGGATCATAAATACAAAGCAGAGTAGAACTACAGCGCTTCATCAGAGGCCGCACTGATGACATTACCTAACATGTTGACGGAACATCTGAACTACAATCAGCCAGCTTGGCGAGCAAGTCAACAACCTTCCTTCCATGTCCTCATATTGTGGACTGTTCTCTTTTTTGGTACTGTCTGCCTCCTTCTAATCTCCCACCATCAATCATTTCCTCAAAAAATACAACCCTTGGCTCCCTTTCTAATGATTTATCCATCTCCAAACCCGCTGACCTATCCAAAGTCAGTGAACATTTTGTCTATGGCCCCCTTTCTTGGCACTCCATGTTTGAATCACTGCACTCTGATCCAGCTGACTGGCCTCTTCCTATTCCTCATCTACATGCTGCTCATCCATAGCATCATCCAAAACCACATTACCATTTTTGACTTAAACACTGACAAAACTCAGCTCTAATTCATCGCCACGCCTGTAAACCTTTCCATTACCTCTAAATTGTCAGACTACTTACCTAATATCTGGTGTTGCACATGCAGAAATTTCCTTCAAGGAAAAATTGCTTACGCTACCCACCAAAACCTCTAGCCCTTCGAAACTGACTCCATCCCTCTTCCTGGCATTTTTCCACTTGTTGCACAAAATGTTCACAACTTTGGTGTCAGGTTTGATACATGAGCTTTTGACCACAAATTTGCACCTTCACTATTTCCACCTCTGTAATGTCACCTGGCTCTGCCATGCTTCAGTTCATCTGCTGCTGAAACTTTAGATACCTCCAGACTTGACATTTTATGAGGGGCAACCAAAGATTTGCTCAAGGGATTGAACTGTTGTAAGGAGCATCTGAAGGAAGTACAGAGTAGTAACAATAGCAGAGAGAGAATTCCAGATCATGAGACTTAAGCCATTCAAAATGCGGCTACAATCGTAAGGCACAGGGTGGGATGAAGAATAGACCTGAGGAAGAGAATTAAGAGTTAAGTGGGTTTGTTGTAGAGAAAGGGAGATATGTTGGCAAGGTAACAAAAGAATTCAAAAAGCACAACAAAAATGTTAAAATTGTGACATTGCAGAGATGGAAGCTGTGTGGGTGAACATTATGTGGTTTGATGATTGATTGGGAGCTAGGGAATATAGATACTGAGTTTTGGATGAGCTGAAGTTTACAGAAATGGGTAACTGAGAATAACAGCAATAATTGAGCTGAGTTGAGGGTGGAACGGCAAGTCTTACAGTGAGTGCCTGATGGTCTATGTGATGGAGAACACGTGGGCTTAAAATCTCAGTTTAGTATCAAACAGAATGGAGAGGATGAGACAGTTTAATATACCTACCACAGTGATTGGCAAAGATGAAATCAGTGACAAGGGTTTGAGGTTCAAATGAAAGAATGCCAGCTTCAACCATTTCTGATTTCAGCTCAAGAAAATTTTAGCCCTTCCAATGTTGGATGTTTAATAAGCAATTTGGCAAACGGAGGCAATGTAGAAACTGGAGCAGGTAATGGAGAGATATAGGTGGGTGTCATCAGCATATATATGGAAGCTATGCTGATGTATTTGAGTTATGGATGTGAAATTGCATTCGGACCCTGACTGAATGAATCAGGAATCCACCTTTTACAATACCAGATCATCGTCTGCTGAAGTTCACAATACAATAATTCAAACCTATTTTAAGAGACTCATTTTCTGGTTTCACAATCACTATCATTTGGTTTGAAATTAGATATCTTGGCAATATTTTCCAAGCCAATGGAAAATAAAACTTGTGGAATAAAACAAAATGGCTATGAGCTTGTTTCAAATATGGACCATTTCACCCTGATGTCTCCAAGGGACAGTATAAGGATGAGAAAGGGACCGTGATTCAGTCCAAGGATGTAAGAAAGGTTGATGAGCCATTTATTGAAGATGATCTGGCGAGTCGATAATCTAACAAGTCTTTTGGAGCACAGAGAATTTATTTTCAAAATGATTAATTGCAAATCCATGTATTTGACACCTAACTTGTTTCATAGGATAGATTTATATATAAGACCTGCAAGTTCAAATTAACAATGCCAAATTAATTAACCATAAGTTATGTTACTTTATCTCATGTGCAGTTTGGAATTATTTGAATTTTATCCAATCCATAGTCTTTTGTTATAGATTGACAGTTTTCTTTAGGCCATAAATTCCTACTTAGTGAGAACTTGACAATAGTGACTCCAATTTACTAACAAACTTGTTAATTACATTTTGTAAATAATTTTTTCTGACTAATAGCTTTATAAAAAGTAGTTTATAGTACAGGTAGAGACTAATAAATAGCAAAAAAATTGCAACACATTGAAATGTTATTTGCTATTATGTATCCTGTCCAACAAAGTATCGATACTAACTCTGAGAGACAGGAGATTAAGCAAGCTGCTATTAATGGCTTGCTGTGTTAGTTGTGTTGTGTGAAGTGGTGAGCTTATCAATAATGTGTCACAAAGACAGTAGTGTATTCATTTGTTTTCTAAAGTAAATAATTAACTAATTAGATTTACAGATGTGTTGCTTGCTGAAAAAGTGTATTTCGTTCCAGGATATTAAACACTACTTTATTTGAAAGCTGGGAGATTGTTGGTCCATATCCATCATGGTGGATCTTCAACTTGCTTTTGTTGCTGCTTCAAGTGTTGCATAGTTTCTGGTCATATCTGATCATAAGGATCACTTGCAGAGCTATTGCTAAAGGAAAGGTATGTTCTCCTTCATACAACAGCAAGGTACTGTGGATCCTGGAAATCTTCTAAGTCTGCTAATGAGACCTGAATATATGTTGCAATATATTATGCCACAGTATTTAATAAAGTAGCCATCTCTAACAGCTACTTCCAGTTATCTGAAAACTAGCTTATGCATTTTCAACCCTTGCAAATAACAGCATTGCAACTGATCTTAATGTCTGCAGTCAGACTGAAAGGTACAACTGCAACCAGCCAGTTGGGTTTCCCAAGGGAATATTAGAAGCCAAAAAGAGATTCTGAGTGGTGATTAAGCAGTTAGATCCTTTTTTAAAAAACTGCCTGTCCAGGAGGAGCAAAAGCATTTACCTCCAGAGTCTCAACCGCTGATTACAGCCTTTCACCACTACCAAGATTAATCAACCCCAATCTTCGACTTTTTCTCCCCTCCCAATAGTTGTGTTTCAAGCTCCTCCTACCAAACTTTGATCCTTTTGGTTTATTCTGAAGCATTCTGAACAGTCCTCAGCCATGGCCTTGTACCATCACTGGCAACATCAGCATTGATCTGGAAGATGGTCAATCTGTCAATTTGGTGGTAGCTGAGCAGGAAGCAGAATTAAATAATGAGTTTGAAATCCTCCAGTTAAATTTTGCAGTGCACCATATGCCTCTGATGTATCCACCTTCCATCTCTCCCATTCCTAACCCCCACGCCACACCACTCAGAATAACTCTTCCCCTCTCTCTCCTTCTAAAATTGAGGCCATGTTTTCCCAAAACTAGTCTGTTTCTCTTCTTCTCAAATCTTTTTACCTCTTTCCTTTGGTAATGTCATTATATTTATCGGGAATTATGAATTTTAAAGAGTGCTAAAGTAAAATCTTTTTGCTGAAGTATTCACCATTCTGTTTGTGCAGTATCATCATTGATTTTTAAGACTAAGCTTATGTGTTTAAATATGATCACTAGTTTACTGTACAACTATATTCAATGTACCAAAGGACATATTCCACCTGTTTGTTCTAGGTCTTGGCAACATTAAAGAAAAATCAAGTCAATAAGTAGACTAACAAAACAAAAATGAGATTACTCAAACAAATAATTAAAGTTCTAGTGGCACTAATTGTTACATTTGATTTCTTTACATGCCCAAAATTGCTGGCAGTACAACCAAATTATTGTTGACAATTTGTATTTGTATTCATTCTACAAGTTATTTGCAGACTTAAAATAAAATTAAAAGTTCTACCAAAGTACTTGAGTTCTGACCAACTGATCATTATGGTAAAAAGAGCAACCTATATTTATTTGGAGTCTCTAATATATGAAAAACATTAAAGCACATCACAAAGCATAATGCAGGGCAACAAGAAGTCCTGGACATGGAGGGTCTGATTGGAGGAATGTGAGGTGTTAAGGCAGAGGAATTAATGGCCTTTGGGATCTATATGAAACCTATTAATAATGGGGCAAAAGTAGGGGGTAGAAGGTTAATATCAGAATTGACGTTGAGTATTGGAGGGAGATCAACAATGATTGAATTGAATGACACTTTGTTCCCATCTGTAATATGGCAAAGCTGAAGAGAAGTTACTATAAGCCACAAGGAAATTGTGAGCTGTGTTTTAAGGGGTACTGTGGTCTCCTCCATCCACTCCAGAAAAGCCATTTGGAGGGCAGGCCTGTCCCCAATCCCAAAACCTCTCAAACTCCTGCAAAATTTCAGACAGGTTGAGGGGAACAGGCAGATAAGAGGTGACATGAAGGCCACCTGTGGATATTACAGGCCTTCTGTCCTCAAACCCGAGAGGTGCATGAAATGCAGCCCTATAGTACAGTGGTGCTGAGTCTTGTTATTATAGTTCAATAACTTTGAATAGTGGTACAGAGGATATCATGTCATACCATGTTTTCTCTTATTCTACCTGTTTAATCTCTTCCTCATCCAAACTTGAAAGGCTGGGAAATGGAATCCTTTACATGTAAGTTTCACTGGTTAAAATCTCCAAATATATTTCCTAATCATTAGAATAATGTTTTTATTCTGTTCCCATAATTCTTGATTTGATCTTTCTTAATGCTCCCACAGATGCCATATTTCATTTTATATGTAAATCATTCGCTGCAGCAAAATATATTCATTTCAATAATAAGTACTTAACACAGAGTTACCTTTAGTATAAAGGTTGCAGATTTCAAATACCCTGAATTGACAGTAATACCACATCTTAAATCTCTCTTTGCTGCAGTTTGGATTTTAACTGCATCATGAATTGCTAGTACTGCTACTGCAGGAAGGATTTTAGCTACCACAACAAACATTTAGCAAGCATTGAGCAAATTGCTAAAGGGATATCTGGTGGAAAATCAGGGGACAGTGTCAGGTCTCAGTGGGTGAGCGGTGTCAAGTTTCAATTAGATGCTCAATACCCTCAGGGAAAAGAAATTTCCATTCAGCAAACAATTGGAGCTGTCTATCAAAATGCTTATTTGATAAGCACCTCATTGTGAAAATGATGGCTTGGGAAATCAGTCAAGCAGCACAAACCTATAATGAATTATAGGAACAGACACTCTGAAATACCGACGGAGCACCTTTTTTTTAACTCCACACTTTTTTTTGAAAGTTCCTATGGTGCAGAAGAGGCCATTTGGCCCTTCAACTCTGTACTAACCCTCCAAAGAGTATCCCACACAGCCTCCTCACCCTATACCTGGAACCCCACATTTACCATGGCTAATCCACCAAGCTTGCATATTCCTGGGCATTATGGGGTAATTTAGCATGGCCAATCTACGTAACCTGAAAATCTTTGGACTGCGGGAGGAAACCAGAGCACCTGTAGGAAACCCACACAGACATGGCGAGAGTGTGCAAACTCCGCACAGACACCCAAAACTGGAATCAAACCCGGGCCCCTGGCACTGTGAGGCAGCAGTGTGGACCACTGTACCACGGTGCTGTCCAGGTCCTTCACAACGTTGGCAATCCTAATAAGTCTATGTACTGTTTATGCACCAGCATGCCTTTCACAATCCCAAAGGATGCCCTGCCTCTACCAAATGTGTCCCAGAACTAGAAACAAAGGGGAGAAACATAATATATTTATCCAGCCTTCACTGCTCCTCACCTCCACTGTCAGTGTCTCACCCAAGCCAACCCTTGCCAATCTGATGTCCTGTGTCCATCCCCATAACCAGCATTCCCTCTAATTTTCTTTTCAGCAGCAACTTCTGGAACTGGAAGTCAGTGCCGTGCCTGCATGGAAACTTGGGAATGCGTGCATGTGCAGCCACACAGCTCAGAGGGAACGTTGCCCAAAACCTCTCATATGCCACCCTATGCCCCACTAATGATCCGTCATGCCTCAAATATCAGTCTGCCATCTTAGTGTGTACTTCCACCCACCACCCTATTCCTCTTCACCTACCTAACCTACCAATGCACATGGGAGAAAAAAAATACAGTTTTATTAATTAAAGGTCTAAATTGCAGGATACAGTCTACTGAGAAAAGCTCTCTCATTTCTAAAAACTCATTTTGACACCTCTTAACAGGTTGACGCACATTGATATTTCATGGTAGTTTTTGACAAGTCTTAACAAAATGGATGATTCCAAGGGGTTTATGCACCTTTCACAAACAATCTTCTCCACAGTTGACAGGCTACAATAGTACCTCAATCCCACTTCCCGTCCCCACAAAGGATCCCTAATCACCAACACCAAAGAATACTTGATGTCCACCCTAAAGGATCCTGATCCCCACCATTCTTCAGGTAGCCTTGGACCATATTCCCAGAGGTACCTCAGCTCTCCAAAAGGGTACTGTGGCTATCCAAAAACAATACACACCAAACAGAAATCTACACTCCATGTACCAGAAACCAAGCCCTCCAAAATTAGATTTTGTTGATCATTTAAATGACTAGCTGTCTCCAGAAATTGTGCATGAGCAAATTATGGACTACCCTCAATCCTAAAATAAGAAGTCAGTCTGGGGTGGCATTTTGGTATCTCAACTTCTTCCAGCATTTCACTCAGTTTGGACACTCTCCATAATGGCAAAAATCAGGGCCTACATTTTAGTGGATCATACTTCCATTCTTATAAACGCCAATGAGCATAGGTCAAACCTGCTCATCCCTTCCTTGTTAAACAAACCCTTCTTCCAAAGAATCAGTTGAGTGAACATTCCCTGAAGTAATTCTAATTCTTTCTTAAGTAAGGAAACCAAAACTGTATGCAGCACCCCAAATGCAGCCTAACAAAAGTACAACTGTAGCAAAACTTCAATACTTTTACATTCCCCTTGCAATAAACACCATATTCATTTGCCTTCCTAATCAAAAATTGAACCTGCATTCTAATTTTTTTGTATAAACCTTAGAGCTAAATTGTTCAGGGTGAGCTGAGTAACGTGGGCTATGATGAGATTTGTACCAGAATCAGATGAGAAGTCTGTCTAGGTCTATCTCCCAAACATCTCACTCTCTTTTATACTTACAACAAGTGGTACAGTGAGATTCACAATAGGCAGCCACAAAATTTCAATTAATAGTGATTATTGCTAATTAAACACTTTATTGATGCCCCAGCTCACCTCCTTAATATTCAGCTTCCTATCTATATATATGGTCTGTTAAAACAGCAGAAATAAAAAGCTGATGCACTTGCGTTAAATATTAAATTTCAAGAGAGTTTATTATAAGTTGCCAGTCTTGTAAACATTTTTTTCCATTAGACTGTAGTCTCTTAACTCTCTATGTTCTATGTAAATTCATGATCATAAATTTTAAAATCCATACTAACCAATTTCCTATAGCTTTTGATCCAATGCATTCATCTCAGCTGCCATGTTAATTTGGGCTTCCTGAATGTAGTATTGTGCTTTTGATTTGCATGACTCCTCTCTGATGATTTCAGTGATAAAATGCATCCTCTTTGCTGTAATGGCTAATTTATATTCCTAATTTGAATGTCAGGTATCAAAGGATGATCGAAGTGACATTGAAACCAGCTCGGACGAAGACGATTCAACACCTTCTGTGTCAAAAAGTGGACATAACAGCACCACCAATGGGACAAATGGCTACCTAAGTGGTGGCGTTTATTCCGAGGAACATTAGTTATTTGTATGGGAAGTTCTTATATAGTGTTGCAACCCTGTTAATTGTATGTACGGCACGCACAACCTGAAAATATGATCCAAGAAGTATTTCACAAAATGTGTTATTGAATGCATTTTATCACTTAACTCAGTATCAGATGAAGGTTTAGAAATATCAAACATTCTGATAGTGCACTGCCATTTACTGTATGAGAATGAATGACAATAAACATTATGTACATGTAGGCATGCTATGTGTGTATATGTAGTCTAACTCAATGGGAATGGTATTTTCATATGTATTGTCTTTGTATATTACATTATTTATTTTTATATGTTTGAGATTTGTGGTAAAAGGGAATTTTCAGTGGTTTACTCTGCGACTTATTCATTTGGATGAGTAAAAGCCATTGTAGATTAATTATGTTGTGCATAGCTCAATCTGCTAAAATTTGTGACCTGTCACATGTAATAGGCCACTTCTAGCTCTCAAGTACTGTGGTTTAGCCAGCAGTAGTGATATGTTCCATGCTTTTTTTTTTGGTGTTATTTCCTTTCAAAATTTCTATGATATTTGAAAGAGGTCATTTTGTCCCCATTGGAAGTAAGCAAAAACTGAATGCTGGAGGCAAACTGCTAAACTATATAGCAAGATTGCTTTAAATATGTTTCTGTGGAACAGTCCAAACACCTTTCAGTTTGTGACATTGATAAATAAAAAAAATTCTTTCTGCGTAACATCAATGCAAAATGTCACTATTTTGTTCTTTGTTATGGTGAAAAGAACCACCTCTATCGATACTGGCCTTCAATGTCCCAAGGATAAACACTAGCATAGAAAGAAAGATCTGGGTAGCTATCCAGAAAAAGCATCGTGAGGGTTGAATAGGCTAGTATGTGTTTCCTTTATACTTTGTTGTAATAAAATTAAATGTAATATGTAAATAACCCATTTAAATCATGCCTTGTTATTCCTAAAATTTAGTATCATAAATGGAACAATGCACACATTCAGTTCTCATTTCAGTTGACTGATGATTATTGACCCAATCATGTCGAGGCAAAGAAGGCTAACATTTTCAAAGATCAGTAATACAATGGAAAATGGGCATCACTGGCTGTGTCAGCAGTTATCACCAACCCATTGTTGCCCTTGAGAAGGTGGTGATAAGCTGCTTTCTTGAACCGCTGCAGACCCACAATGCCGATAGGAAGGGAGGAAGTTCTGTGATTTTGATTCAGTGGCACTGAAGAAACAGTAACATATTTCCAAGTCAGGATGGTGAGGAACACCAGGTGGTGATTTTCCCATGTATCTGCTGCTCCTGCCTTTCTCAATGGAAGTGGTCACAGGTTTGAAAGGTGCTGTCTAGGGTGCATCTTGTAGATGGTGCACACTACTATGATTGAGTTTTGAATATACAGAAAGTATTGTGGAACTACTTGGCTATGGGTGCAACAAGTCCTGGAGCATGAGTTTTAAGTACTACTGTTGGAATGTTGTCAAGGCCTATAGCCTTTGCAGTATCCAGTGTTTCCAGCCTTTTTTTGATGTCACGAAGAGTGAATTGAAGTGGCTGAAGACTGGTATCTATGATGCCATGGACCTCTGGAAGAGACCAAGACAAATCTTCTCTTCAGGTTGATGATTGCTGCAAAAGTTTCAGCCTTTTTTATGCAGTGATGTGCTGGCCTCCGATCGTTGAAGGTTCAGCTATTTTGTGCAGTCTCATTTTCCAGCGAGTTCTTTAATTTCTTCATCAGAAACTAGTATTCCTTTATTTGAAGGCTGGAGTGAAGAATGGAAGCCAATAGTATCAAAGGCAGACTGCACTAGACTTCTTTCTTTTTTTGGAGCTTTCAAAATCGACAATGATGAATATTTATTAGGTAAAGATTTTTTAGTTTAGGTTGAATTGACAGATATGTCTGATCTCTTCAAGGATGCTTTGAGGACATCCCTAAAGCACTCCCACTATCCTCATTGGGGTTTCATGCCATGAATGAGTTGCAAGTAAAGCAGTTGTTTTAGAAGTCAGGTATTAGGCGTACAAACAATGTGTCCTGCTGAGTGGAACTGGTTATGACTAATCAGCGTTTCAATGCAAGGCAAGTTGGCTTGGGACAACAAGCTGCTTGGACAACTTTTCTTGGCACTGGATTTGAAGGATATGCCAATAGCACCACAGGTGGCCATTCTCCGGCACTTTAAGGTACCTGCTATAAGCTGTCCTCAGGATCTTATATGTTTCAACAAGATCACTTCTCATTCATCTACACTCCAATGGGTATAGGCACAATCTGTTCAACCTTTCCTTCTAAAATAACACCTTAATCATGAGAATGAATCAAGTGAATGTTCTCTGCGTCGAATACAATTATACCCTTTTTAAAACATAGATAGAGTGTGGATGAAATCTTGACCAAGTTAGCCAAAATTCTGTCCAGGTTCAGAGGTGTACTACGGTGTGTGAATATTGACACTTTTTGAAGGAAAGCTGGTTTCCTGATATTGCAGCATTTTCTTCTGGTCTTCTAGTCATTGGGAATGTCTACTGTGCAAAACACACACCCACCCACTCTGCAGAGGGTTGCCCATCTTAAATGGTTTATAAATATCATATTTCCTCCTGCAAACCATTTCTGACTAGTGCTGTGGAATAAAGGAAGCCCCTTAAAAGCATGATACGTTTAATAGTTTGTGAAGAAAATGGATATCATGTTGTAGACTCTGGAACATTTTGAAAGGTAAATGAAAAACGTTTTCACATCTTCGTATTTTACTTTATTAAGTAGATATGTTTTCATTTCTGTATTTCAAATTAGGTAAGTTGACTCATATTGACAAGTGCTGTGTATTTTGTAATTCTAGGTAGCATGGGTGTGTGGAAGTGAAGGAGACATGGATAAGGTTTAAGGCCCTTCGAAAACTATGAAGAGCCGTGAGAAAAAATACATTAAAAAGTTTTTAAGGCTGTGTTTTCCCACTCCCAGAACCTCTTCCTGTGTCTCAAAAGACCACAACAAACCTACAGAACCAAGTGTACAATAAAAGGTGATAGCATCCCAAACGCTCACCAACAGCTTACTTAAACCCATGGGCTGTTCGGTGTCAAGATGCCATATCAGGTCATTTGCTATCTAGCAAAATGTCATGTAGAGTCATTACTGAGTGATATCAGGCAGCAATATGGTCTGCCAGCCTCTTCGCCCTGAGGTATACTTCCCCATCTACTTCTGTGCCGACAGTCACATCCCTGATGGTAGCCTCTTTCCTGGTCTTAGGAGTGTAATCTTTTCCCATGAACTGCGTGATATGATCCTGTGCTTCAACAGAACCAGATCCTCATGCTCTGCTTGCTTGTACTTGATAAACCTCTGCTGTAGTTGTGTCAGGCTCCTGCTGTCCACAGAAACCCCAGTCAGTGCCTCAGTGTTCCACTGCAGACTTCTTTGAAATCTGTACCTCCCCCCAGTACCCTGATGGACTCTCCCCCACAGATGTTCCATCTTGAATGCAGCCTGCTCTTTTGTGTTGAGTCCCCTGGATGCCATAACCAGCTACGCATCTTCAATCCAGTCTTCAACCCAATGGATCATTGGGTATTTCCAGTCTTACCCCAAATCTGTCCGGCTTCATACCCATTGGCACGCTGAATATCCAACTAGGAGTTCCGCTTCCTTCCTCCGTAGTGTCAAGAAAACAAACATGGGAGGCCTGTGCCAGATCTGTCATAAAGTTTTGCTTTCTTCTGTAAATACCTGAGCCTCCAATGATCCTGGAGCAGCTTCAGCCTTCCTCCCAGACATTGCTAATTTCAATGGAGGTCCCAAATGCCCAAGTTCCCATGCTTTTCTCTCCCCTTTCTTTTAAAGAGTTCTTTCCTTTCCTTTGACATTATCCTAATTAAACTTCAATCAAACATTTATTTCACAGCAATTAAACTGTCCGTTGATGTAGGTTAATATATTTTTTTAATCAACCTTTACAGATAATTTATGACAAATCTCAGGAGCTGACAGGACTTGAACTCAGACCTACTGGTCTACGGGTAGGGATAAGCGCCCCTGCTCAGCGCTCTTCCTCTCCATCACCACCTGCTGCTGAATGTTCCAGATTTTATTGAATTCAAATTTCACCATCTGCCATGGTGTTGTTCAAACCCATGACCTCAGAACGTTGCTGGCAATTCTGGATTGCTGAGCCAGTGACATTATCACCAATGCCACCACCTCCCCTTTGCGAACAGTTCCATTTCACTGGCTCATTAGTTCCTTGCTCTTTACAGACAGTAGAAGAATATGTATAATAGCCAGTTATACAACAGGCAATTACAAGCAGTGTTACCTTTAAGATGCTCACATCTGCAAATGTGCATCCTTCTGGAATAACTGCAGCCCAGGCCAATGAAACATTTCTCCATTTAAGACGCTGGTCATGCACAAAAGATGAAATGTTCTGTGTATCGAAATAAATCAGCATATGCAACAAAGAAAATATATAGAGAGCAAACTTATGAATATATGATATTGTGCATTTAGGCTCCATTAGTTCCAGGCTGGCAGTTCCCCATTAATACTGTGAAGCTCAAATTGCTGCCAAATAGAAAACTATGTTTACTGAAGGGGAATTTAATTGAACTATGTAAATTTAGGGACCAAGATAGTGTTTAGAAATGACCCATTTCCTTAGCAAAGAGGTCATTCACTGGATTGGGGTGGGGTGGACAATCATAGATTTAAAGTAATTTGTAAAAGGAAAAGAAGTTGAGGAGGGATGTTTCCAATTCGATGATAGTGAGGTTCTCAAACTCACTGCTGAAAGGATATCAGGTGCAGCATCCATCATCAATTTGAAAAAATATTTGGCTTCAATAAACAGGAACCATGAATCTAAAGAAGGAGAATGTAAAGAATGTTCAAAAGATCAGAAAGATAGATTTATAAATATTCAATTCAGGTTGATCAGGTTACTCCACTAAACGTCTGGCAGGATGTTGATAACAACATAAACATCATTGATCAAATCTTCAAATGATTTGTTATTTATGCTTTTTGGTGACATTGAAACATCACAGTGTTTGCGCAGACTACAAAAACATCTCATAATTTGAAAAAAATCGCTGAAGTTTCGTTCATAACTCTGAATTCATGAGGATTCGTGCTTTCTAGCCTTTATGACTCAATTAATTCTTCCAGCACATGAGAAAGGAGAAACCTGTCACCTGTATAATAAGTTCATGCATGTCTATTTGAGTTTCCTCATTGCTGTGATGCCTTATTCAAGTTAAAATATTTTAAGGAAACAGAGCCGATTGTGATTTTTAGTTGAGTATGTTACTCTTAAATCAATGTGGCCGCAGAGTAGGGGGACTGAGCACAGGGCTTGTCCACTCCCATCAGCTTTCATTTGTTTGTTTCTTTTTAGTTTTGATCTTTTTTTCTCCATTTTTCTTAGCTTTCTTTTTTGTGAGCCTAGAAAGTGGCGGGTGAAGGAGGAGGCCTCCTGTGGCAGCCAGGCTGAACAGGACACGGCACGGGGACTCCCAGCGAGCGAGGAACAGGTCCCAGGCAGACATCCCCAAGCCCAGGTGAGGCCGAGGGTCCAGGACCACAGCTTGGCCCAGGTACCTGAAGGAGGAGAAAGGCAGTCTCAGCACGGTGTGGAGATCTCCCTGTGTGGCGGTCTGTCTGTGTGGTGGTCTCCCTGTCTGGCAGTCTTGTCCTGGCATGGAGGTCTCATCCCCGTGTGGAGGTCTTTTTCATTTTTGGTGTCCAGCAGTTCCAGTGGCCTGGCAAGTGGTTTTGTCTAGGAGTGGTGGTTTCAGCCCACCATGGTGGTCTTCTTCAGCAGAGACTTCCAGCCCAGCATCCAGCAGACCAGCATGACGTTCTCACCCCAGCTATATCTTCAGGGTATTCTATCATTTCAAATCAGCTTTCCCTGA